AAACTGACTTTTCTGGTCAACTTAAATACGACTAATGATGCAAAATGTGATGAATGAAGATATTTACTAATGATCGTGACCAAATGACAAAATATGGTATGAATGTGCGAATGAAAAAATTAGGGGCAAAATTAAGGGCGCAACGGTGTGCCTTGATGACTCAGTCTTCGAGAATCCACAATCAACCGTACTTCTGGCTTGGGAGACTCAAAACCTTAATTGAGGCGCGACACCTGATGCTCTTGATTCAGACCTGTCTCTGCATATGAAGCAAAAGAAAACATGAACATACACCTTTGTATGCGATTAGAAATTAGTGATACATAGTCTAAACATGTTCAAAACACTTGACAATCTTCACATAGTCAAAGCTTGAAGGTGAGAGGTTAAAACCAACCGTATTTCGTGACCTTGACTTTTGTATAAAAATGCAAAAATAAAAATGGGATCTTAGGCCAAAAATTGGGGTACAACAGCTGCCCCTATTTAAGTTTCTTCTATCTGGAGGTATGAAGATTGGGATCTTCATTTCGACGAGATTGAAGGGACTTAAATATAGAATACACAATTTTTGGCCTTAAGATACCGCGATTATGTTCATGATATGATATGAATGTAATGCTCTGAATTTTATGGGGAATGACGTCATTCGAGACAGACTATGTTGGAGAAACCAAACACATTACACAGTGATCCCACAGAGGAAGAGGTTGTAACTCCACTGGGGAAACAAAGTCATAGACTTCAAATGAGAGACTCTTGAAAGATTTACATCAATGTTGAGACTGGAAAAGAAATGATTTACGTCAGTACTAAGACTGGAAAAAGAAATGATTTACATCAGCACTGTGACTGGAAAAGGACATGATGGACATCAGTACTGAGACTGGAAAATGATTGACATCAGCACTGTGGCTAGAAAACAAAATGATTGACATCAGCACTGTGGCTGGAAAACAAAATGATTGACATCAGCACTGTGGCTGGAAAACAAAATGATTGACATCAGCACTGTGGCTGGAGATAAACATCTCTGATTTCTGAATTTTACCAAGAACGGTAACACATTTCTTCTTTAACCAAGATATCGCTTGAAAAGGATAAAATAACAAACTTCCCCACGGGACTTTTCCGAAGGGATGCCATTTGCTGAGTAAACATTATTGTTGGGGATACACAAGCTACTCAAATAAAGAGGCCGCCACTTGCTTCCTTTCAAAGGTGTCAATAACATACAAGCTGCTCATGAAGAGACCGCCGCTTGTTGTTTCTCAAAGAATATTAAAGCACACAAGCTGCTCATGAAGAGTCCGCCACTTGTTGTCAAAAATCCACAAGCTGCTCATAAAGAAGTTGCCACTTGCTGTCTTCAAAGAATATCAAAGCACACAAGTTGCTCATGAAGAAGCTGCCACTTGTTGTCTTCAAAGAATATCAAAGCACACAAGCTGCTCATGAAGAAGTTTCCACTTGTTGCCAAAAACCCACAAGCTGCTCATAAAGAAGCTGCCACTTGCTGTCTTCAAAGAATATCAAAGCACACAAGCCGCTCATGAAGAGTCTGCCACTTGTTGCAAATAACCCACAAGCTGCTCATAAAGAAGCTGCCACTTGCCGTTTTCAAGGGAACAATAACACACAAGTTGCTCAAATAGATAAGCTGCCACTTGCTGTCTTCCAAAAATACTAACGTACAAGCTGCTCATGAAGAAGCTGCCACTTGCCGTTTTAAAAAAAAAAAGTGTTGATAACATACAAGTTGTCCATGAAGAGACTGCCGCTTGTTGTTTCTTTTCAAAATTACCAATAACACACAAGTTGCTCATGAAGAGACCGCCGCTTGCTGTTTTCAAAGGTGACAATAACAGACAAGTTGCTCATGAAGAGACTGTCGCTTGTTGTTTCTTTCAAGGTATCAATAACATACAAGTTGCTCATGAAGAGACTGCCGCTTGATGTTTGTCAAGAGTATCCATAACACACAAGTTGCTCATGAAGAGACCGCCGCTTGCTGTTTGTCAAGAGTATCCATAACATACAAGTTGCCTCATGAAGAGATTGCCGCTTGCTGTTTCCCAAAAAGATACCCATAAAATATCGTGAAGATATTGCTGGAGGTGAGAACCAATAATTTCATCGAGGATGGACAAACTGCTCATGAAGAGACCGCCATTTGTCGTAGAGAAATCAGAAATAATCAAACTGCTCAAATAAAGAGTCAGTCGCTTGTTGTCATGTCGATATTCCAGAAGAAGGTTGTGATAACGCTGCTGGGGAATAAAGTTCATCTTCAATGGGGAACCGTGAATAAATCCTTCTTGAGGAGACCAAGCATTTACGTTGCAAAATAAATGCACTCTCCATCTAGGTTTCACAGCCTAGAGAGATCCACAGGGTATCGTTCACAAGAGACAAAGCTCAATCCAGGAATAAACTGGAGAGAAAATAGTCAAACAAGACTCCACCCAATGAGGAAACAACTCAAATGGGGATTTATCCTATCCAGAGATGGAAAAGGAAAGCTAAAGCAAGATTCTTCCACGAGAGTTAACTCAATGGGGAATTAGAAAGGAGGCGCACTTTCTGCTTAAGTTGACATTCTATTTGGAAAGATCAAATACGCTATTTGAATAGACATAACCAAGGTATACGTACTCAAAGACATCAACAAATACAACTGTGCATGCATGATGCAAGTGTGAATGAATAAATGAATGTCATGTATATGCTGACAAAACAACAGGGGAGATAGACTGAAGATGATAAGACGTCATAGTACAACTCGACACTAGGCTAATCTCAACAGGATGGGAACATTACTGGAGATAAAACACAGGCCATCATTGGAGCAAGGTCCTTTTACAAGGCTTAAATATCTCTGGAGAGGAAGATATTTTCAGGTAGAAAATCCAAAGTCCAGTCTTCTATTGCAAACAATCCATTGAAAGGATAACAACACAACAAAGTTTCAGCTGGGAAGAAGTCTTGCTTAGCTAGAGATATTGGGAACACCACCCTCTGATAATGTATGAAAAATATATCTTGACAAATCTGGATTGCCCCCGGGATTAATTTTGGATGCCCCAAGTTTACTGCTGATAAGCTGCGTGACGATTCTTGCGAATAACTTCACTTCTAAAATGCCCCGAGCTATATGGTTGATGAGGAGAAATCGTCTCAAGAGGATTTTACAAAAGACCTGGCATTCACCATGCTCTGGTGTCTTCAAACTCTTAGAGAGATTCATCCAATCTCTACGTGATTGCCCCGGATTGACTATAGTCGGCACAACAAAGTCTTCGAATTTTTGCCCCAAACGAGCAAACAAGTTGGGAAAAGCATTAACTGGGAGAAGCAACATGTTCGTGCTTACGGTCTTCAGGTGACATGCCCATGGATATGATTTTTTCTTGACGTGATCCGCCAATTACTCAACATAGTTTCAGGCCTTAAAAGAATAAACTCATCACTGGTGCTTATGTGAGCTTCGTTGATATCAAACAAATGTTTTGCAGTTAGAAAAAGTTTACAATGAGAATGAAAATTCTAATGCAACAGTTATGTAAGTCTTGAAGATTTTGAAAGATAGCACAAATTTTGTGAGTTAAAGCACCATTTATTTTTGTATAGGAAAAACATATGATACCAACATAACTATTTAGAACATTCATGGGAGTCAGGAACACTATCTCATTGAAGTATGCTTTCAAAATAACCTTGCTTCAATTAGGACTTTTGAAGGTTGTAACGTGGTCTGGTTCATGGTTTTAGAAAAAAGGATTTAAGGCTCAAAATATTTGGTGCCCACTCCCTTCATGATGTTCTCCAACCCTATGTTCAGTTAATTCAACATGAGTGTTCATCTCTCAAAAGGATTTTGGTGACGGTCAAGGAAACGACGAGGCTTTCGGAGTAGAAACCACCCTCATGTCTTCGTGTTTGTAGTCACCAATTTGTTCTTTGCTGAGGACTTTTCTTTGCAGTCCTTTTCTTTGCAATTTTATTTTCCCTAACTTTTGCCTGAACTAATTCTTTTGAATTGATAGTCCAGCGGGATGCCTTAATTTTGCCTAAGTCACACGTTTTCATGTTTTTTGACTCAGCAGGCTTTTTCTTTTTCTCGATTTTTGACTTTTTGAACAAAATGTGTGACATTAGCTTGTCTTTGCTTGTTGAGAGGATTGTGATTGCCTCGTTTCTTGATGAATGAGGGATAACATTATGGTTCCACATCCTTTAGATTCATTATACATGAAGGATAGCCCTCGTAGTTTCTCTTCAAAAAACATCTTCCTTATGGATTTTGAACACTCAGTCAGATTAACTAAAAACTACCCTGCCCCAGGTTAAAATTCAAGGTTTTTTCGTATAGAAAAGAAACTTCTGCTTCAAAGGCTCAAAAGGGGTTAGCAAGGGATTATCTTCCTTATATCTCCAGTGTTTAGGGATTTGAAACAATGCCTGTACATCATCAGCAAGATTTTATCCAAAAGCATGCAACCAGAGATTTTGTGTTCTTTAGATCATCATCCTCCCTTCAATCTCTGCCTAGGCAAGAGAATGAGCAACAATTTGGTATCATAGTGCAAAAGCAATTTAAAATTTGAAAACAAATATGAGTGAAACAAATGAATTTCTTCAAGACAAACATACCCATTGTATTAAGATAATAATTCAGATGCAAACAAGTTCTTACATGCAAATAATGTTTTGATAAACAAGAAAAATTACAAAAAGCATAAATAAGTTAATAATCTGGGAAGGCTTTCCATCTGGACTTGAATCACCGAAAACATCCTTCAAAAATCAAAGTCACCATCAACCGTGTTTACTCTTCGGCGCATGCTTGATTTGAACTTCAAAACCAACGTCCTTGAATGACAAGATACCACTTCTGACCAACTTCTGAACCTCAATCTTCAAAGCAAAGCAACCCTCCAAGTCATGCCCAGGAGCACCTTGATGAAAGGTACAGCCAAATCAGCTTTGTAGTACCAATGTATCTTCTCAGGAACCTTCGATGGAGGTCGGGTCTGAACCAAATTCCTCTGCATCAGGATAGGGAACAACTTTGTATAAGTAATTGGAATTGGATCAAACTGGGTTTTCCTCTGATTAAGAACTTGCTGATTCTGTTGATGAATAGGAGAAACATGATGATTCTGATGATGATTATTTCTTCCTCTGATTCTCCTCTTGGAAAAGTTATTATCAAACTTCTTCACGCCATTAGCTGAGCTACCATCTTCATATGAACATCCCTTCCCAACATCTTCTTCTAGACGCACTCCCACATTCACCTTGTCAGGAAAGTCATTAGGTACATTAACCATCACCTTCTCATGAGAGAATGATTTTAGAGTTTCAGTGAATACTTTTATCATTGCTTCCTCCCTCCTAGAAGGATTGACTTGGGCGGCAACCAAAATTTCGACCAAACCAGTTAAGTGCTCCATACTAGCTTTCAAAATAGTCATCTCTCTACGGAGTTCAGAAATCTCTTGCTTGATATTCTCCATTGTTCTCTTAGCGTCAGTGTTGTACTGGTGAGACCAAAGGAAAAATAAGACTTGGAAAAAGACCTTTGAAAGTGAAACAAAAAATGTAAAATGATGCATGATATGCAAAAGAGAGTTTTTATTTGATTTTCAAGGAGCTCAAGATATTAAGTTGTAAACATCAAAGTATGAAGATAGAAGATGAATTTTTAATTGGCTCCAAACATTGATCAAGTTATCATCAAGATCAATCATCCATTTTGGTGGATTAGGGTTTTCGCCCTATCAACACCCAAGATCCATTGAGCTTGACGAAACTTGTGATGTTTACAAAGAAAGACCTCTAAATTCCTTCAAAGTCAAGTGAAAAGGGTTTTATGGATGCATGAATGCATGGCTATGCAACAACCACAAGCAAGGTCACAAATAAAGTCGAAAGGTTCAACGTCACGAGCATGGAGTCAAGGTAAGGAACACCCCCAAGGTATGTACTAACGGTTTAATCACACCTGTAGAACAAGGTTCTAAGAGTTCCCGAAGTCTACATTCCTCCTTCGGATATTACCAACGTCTTGATTACTCAATAATCAGAAATATTCTCAAGAGAAACTCATCCGAGCGTAGCATCGCGTAACAATTACTTCCGGATTACTCCGTTATAATCTCCGCGCTACACCTAAAAGGCCAAGATGGGTTAGGGTTCTACGGTTCCCAGCTTCTCTGGCTCCCAGGTCGAAAATAATAATGTCTTCCTGATTACTCGGTAAACAAATATTACGTTCAAAAGGGCCTTCCACTGAGTGGGGGATCTCATGCCTCCTTCTTCGGGATTACTCCCTCAAAGTTAACACGACTATACCGCCCGTCCTATTCCTAAGTGTAACTTAGTCCGGGTATAGGACTTGTCCTTTGTAAATATTATCAACAACCAAATAATCATAATATATACATATAATCAAACAATCAAATAATGATAAAACAAATAAAACAAATTAGGCTTAACCCACTTAGGGATGGACCAGCAAGAGGTCAATCTTTCCCCAGCAGAGTCTCCAATTCTGTAGCGGTGAAAATCGGAGATCGAGTTATTAATTAACTCGACTCGCAAAAGCAAGAGTCGCCACCGCGCTTTATTATTTTCAAGGGAAAAGGGAAAAGAGCGAAATAAAACCCTAAAGTATGCAATGTAAAATAATACTTAAAATTAAAAAATACAATGCGTTTTTGAAAGAGATCGAGAGTTCGGGGGTTGGTTATACAATGGGAAGGTATTAGCACCCAATGCATCTGCGGTACTCCGCAGGAACCTTTTGAAATATCTGTTTTTGGTTAAAATTATTTGTTTGATTAAAATGGTTCTTTTGGCCAAAAGATGGGTATGGATGAGATTTTTGAAGATACGACGACCTAACGTCGAAGTTTTGACTTAAAAGGTGTGAGTTTGAAAATGGAGTCTTTTGGGAAAATTATCTTGAGTTTAGCAAAATAGTAAACAAACAAAAAATGAAAAAAGGGTATTTGCACGATCGGATGAGATGTGTTCGATGACATGAAGTCAACAAATTTAATTCTTTCCCTTGGAGTTAAAACCACAGACAGGTAAATAAGCTAAGAGTATACCAAACCTTAGGTGAAAATAAATCACAAGTCGACAGCATCATCAAAAAACCTAATGTGAGATAATACTCCAAGCATCAGATAAAGCGCAAAGACGGTGGATAAAGCTCACGGTGTCAGATAAGAATCCCTGCATCACAAGAGATATATTGACGAAATCTAACAGCACGGGAAACTTATGTGCGTCCGCACAATTTTCAGGAATTAGTTGGAATTAAAAATAAAATCACAATGCGATGAAAATAATATTTTCAAAACCTGAATTTATTTACAAGTAAAATATACAGTCGAAATATTATGTACAAGTATATATTTACAATACCAAATATTAAATCAAAATAGTAAGGTAAAAAGGGAATAAAGAAAAAGTATAAATGCGCTATGCGAGAACGAACGCTTAAAACAGTTCTCGGAAACCTTCACAGTAAACAAACTTGTTAGTAGCATAAGAGATATAAAAAATGAAATTGCAACAATTAAAACATGTGTTAGTAGTCACGAAGTATAAAAATAAAATCAAATGAAATTGCAACAAATAGAACATGCGTTGGTAATCACGAAGTCTAAAAATAAAATCAAATGAAATTGCAACAAATAGAACATGTGTTGGTAATAACAAAGTATAAATCAAAATGAAATTGCATGAATGCATCCAAACAATCAATTATTCCAGTATTTCAATTTACAAATGAACTAAAACCAAAGAAACTCATGCTATTATTCAATCCAATATTCAAAACATGGAAAGTTGAGCTCAAAGCGAACTAAGGTCAATCTAACCAAATCTGGGAAGCAACAAAAATTCATCACAATTAACTAACCATTAGCATAAACATGCTATTGTTTAACCAACAACACTAACAGCTCATCTCAGATATCTAGCACAAATTAATAACAAATAGGAATAACAATGTCATCACATCCATTTTTACACAATTGTTTCAAAACTCTACCATTTAAAAGAAAAGAAACACATCACCACTTCACTTTTCTTTTCTAATATTATCAATTAATTTGAACATCAAAAACCGATTCAAAAATCAAACACAACCAATCAAAATAATCATCAATTAGTGAAACAAGTATAAACCCCATTTATCTTCAACAGAGTTTCAACATTAATCCAATCATGTTAACAACAACACACCATATTAATTTCAATTCAACAATATTAATTAGAAAGAATAAAAGGAAAGTGAGTTTACCAAAAGGAAATGAGGTGTTGTCGTTGTTTGAACAATAATGAAGAGAGTGCTACTGCATGAAGAAATGCGCAACAAAGGAGGGAGGCTTGTTGTAGATGACCTCATTTGAATATCCCGCTTACCGGAGCCGGTGGAGGAGCATTTGCAGCACGAAATTGAAACTTTCCATCTTGGTCCAAAACAATGCCAATGTTTCTTAAAGCATTTTTGTCATTAATTTCAAAATCATTAGTGGTCATTTCTTGCTTTGGTTCTCTTTTCAAGTTGACACTATAGTGTTGCAAAATTTTGGTAATCAACCTAGCTTACGTTAATCTACCGCTCAGTCCTTGAAGGTGGTCCATGTGATACATTATGGTATATGCCCAATTAATCAAAATTGTCTTTTTCACGGTATAAATCATTTGCATCTCCACATCGCCGATGCAGAAATGATTAGAATTCTTCGGCATGAGCACATACATAATAATGAAATGCAACATCCTATCACTAATAGATAAGTTTGATCCAAACATAAAAAGTCTTGAAGATATAGGTTGTTGCCTATCCAAAATATCCTGCTTAGACATTCGACATATTGAAAAGACATACTCAGTTGAGTTATAGTCAGGCCATTCTGGAATACACCCATGACGTAGAGCCTGGCCCACAAACAGAACCCCTAAACATTTTCCAAAACTTTTAAATCCATAATAATTTCCTTAGTTTTCACTTTAGAAGTCAGAATATCATTTTCTTCAGGAATTATGTTTAAGTTCAGATAAAACTCATTAATCATGTCAGGGTAGATATACCCATGATCAACAACTAAACCATTTATCTGTTGAAACCTCAAAAGTTCTGGAAAATCAAAACAATGAGCAGGAAAAGAAGATAGGTTATCATATTTTGCCAGCATGAGACGTCGATTCTGAATGTCGAAAGTGAGCCTTTGGGCTTTTGTTGATGGTGCGTGTAGAGCATTTTCATCTTGTTGTTCAGAACTTGTCTCACCAACCTTGAGTTTTCCCTTAAGTTTCCTTGAAGCCATGGATGAACCTTGAAGTTTTGAAGGTTAGGGTTTGGAAAGGTGATTTTCGAATTTGGTAGAGATAGGAAGTTTTTTGTTTTTGACAGTTAAAGGTGTTATGGGTTTTTGCAAAGAGAGGGATAACAAGGTGGAGAATGGATGGTGGGTTTGCGGCGAGTGAATGTTGGAGAAGGAGAAATAGAGGTGCTGTAGCTGTTCGCAGATAGAGGGAGTTAAGATTGAAATTGAGGGAGTATTAATGTAAGCTGGATGAAGAAGGGGGTATTCACGGTTCTGCAAACGAAATTGAAGAGGGGGTGTGGCAGTTTCGGAAGACGAACAGAGTTGTATGGTGGAGATGGTGATGAAGCTAAGCTGGAGACGAAAGTGTTTTCGGATGAAGGTTATTATTGTTAGATGATGGTGTACAAAGGGGATTTGTGTTTGTTGGTAGCTTCGAGGATTGAAGAAGGAGGGAACCACTCTACTGAGCGATTATAAAGAGGAAGAATGGGTGTTCCGCGGGCAGCTTGGTGGAATTGTTGTGTGTTGCATTGAAATAGAGGGTGAAGGGAGAAACAAATGAGGGTTTAATGAAGATTGGGTTTGTGTATTGAAGAGAGAAAGGAGTTGATGATAGCAAGGTGTTTAACTCGGGCTCACGGTCACCGGTTTAACTTGGGATGGGAGTATGTTGAAGTGATGGCGTTGGAATGGGTTAAAAGGAAAGAGGCGGATAGTGTTAGTGGGTCGATGGTGTTAGTGGGTTGATGGTGATAAGGGTAGGGAATTGAAGGGCGAAAGTTGATGAACGGTGGTGATGCAGCATGGAGAGAGGGTATGACAATGGATAAGGGAGTTTGATGAGATTGAAAGGAGATAAAGGGTGGATTACTGTCAGCAGAAAAAAAAAATAGAGAGTTAAAGAGTAGATAGAGATTATTGTGTAGGATTTTTGTTGTGTCTTGTGTCCCCCCCCCTTGCAAAGAAAAAATGAAGCCTTTAAATAGAAAAAGAATAGAAATATTATGATTTCAAAATAAATCCAAGCCGTTCAATATAAATCCAATCTCTATCAATCCGCAAACCATGCTTTCGACCAATGAGAATTCAATCTCTATCAATCCGCAAACTATGCTATCGACCAATGAGAATTAAGCGAAGCCTAATTAATATTTTTGTGACCAAAAAATCCCTGAATGACAAAAATAAAATAAAACCTGAAATTATAAAAAATAACTCAATTTAAAATGATTTTTTTTGAATATTTTATGAATAAAAAATAAAGACCCAAAATGATCGAAAACGATAAAAGAACGGACGAAAATTTGTCCGAAAAACTAAAATGCACACATTAAAATAATCTACATGTCACAAAGATTAAAGAAAAAAAATATTCAAGAAGTCAAAAAATCAAAAAAATAAAATAATAATAAAAATATCAGACTAAACAGACGTTTAAGGTTAAAAACGAGACTTCGAACTGTACCAAAAAATAAAGCGAGCATACCGTCATAATCTACGCGAAGCGCAGATTCATAAAATGATCGGTAAAAGGTGAAAACTTGAAATATTCTCTCGCTACTTTCCCGCATAGGGTCGAATCGCTTTTAACGGTCTGTCTATAAAACCAAAATATTTTTATTATCGACATATAAACAACTTGGAGCAATGCAAGAAACGAGTAAATGCATGAAGTGAAATGTCAGGTATTTTACAACTAAAAGACGATGCAAACTTTGATTTAAACTGACTTTTATGGTCAACTTAAATACGACTAATGATGCAAAATGTGATGAATGAAGATATTTACTAATGATCGTGACCAAATGACAAAATATGGTATGAATGTGCGAATGAAAAAATTAGGGGCAAAATTAAGGGTGCAACGGTGTGCCTTGATGACTCAGTCTTCGAGAATCCACAATCAACCGTACTTCTGGCTTGGGAGACTCAAAACCTTAATTGAGGCGCGACACCTGATGCTCTTGATTCAGACCTGTCTCTGCACATGAAGCAAAAGAAAACATGAACATACACATTTGTATGCGATTAGAAATTAGTGATACATAGTCTAAAAATGTTCAAAACACTTGACAATCTTCACATAGTCAAAGCTTAAAGGTGAGAGGTTAAAACCAACCGTATTTCGTGACCTTGACTTTTGTATAAAAATGCAAAAATAAAAATGGGATCTTAGTCAAAAATTGGGGTACAACACGGAGAAGCGTCGGATCCCTAGCTACGGCCGTCTCCTCCAGTGAGTGCGTTTTCCTAACCTGCAAAACAAGGCATGTTAGTGATTAAAGAGGATGCTACCCTCCTAATTTGAGGGCTACGAACTCATTGGTGGCCTTAGTTTTGGCTAAAACATCCTGCACAGTGAGATATACTCAAAATTAACCAAAACTGCATAAACATAGTGATGCATGATTCTTGCATCATGGGACTCATGCGATGGTTCAGACTTGTTCTATCATATCCTAGAAACACATTAGCATGGTTAGTTTCAATCAAAACAGCATAAAAATAAATCACAAAATTCATAAAAATATGTCAATCGGTCATGCTTGGAATGCTTATTTCATGCATTTTTTATCATCAAGAACGATTAAGTCTTACCCTATAAAACCTTAGGGATTAATTTTAACGATTGATTTGCTTTGAAAGTGGTTGTAAATAGGATTGCAAGTTTGCCATAGTTTGACAAACTTTGAGATTTTTGGAGTGTTCTTGAGGAAATTTTTTCGTTCCTTCCTCTTGTCTTAACATGCAAGGTATTTATAAGAGAAGATTAGGTCAAGAAAAATTGGCTTCGACCTTTTGTAAAACACTTTGATTCTTGTTTGAAAATAGAATTAGAATAAGACAAAACATTAAGATTTGTTTTGAAAATAACTCCCACACGGTTTATAGCATATCTTGGGTCTCCAAAAGATTTGAAACAAAAGCCCTCTAAGCCTTATACCTCCACTTACTATTTATTTGATTTAATTTGCATATAAATGAATAGAAATTCAAATAAAAGAAATAAAAATCATAAAAAATATGTGAATGGTTTTGGGGATCCCCTAACATGTCATGAACACATTTGAACTTCAAAAATCAGGCCCATTAGTCCAAATGCCCAAAATTGCTCAATTGAGGTTTCATGCAATTTCACAAAATTACCTAAGTTGTGAAATTCATAACTTGCTTAATTTTTGTCATATGAAAGTGATCTTGAACATTTAGGAAAGCTCAAGATGTCCCCTACAACTCTCATACCTCTCAAATGAAGCATTTTTGGGCCTTGATCTTAGAGAGAAAAAGTTGTAGAGAATTGAATTTCCATCAAAATGGGCTTTGGTTGAGAATTTTATTGAGTGAAGCTTTTGGATTCAAATTGAATGAGGAGAAGAAAAAAGAGAGTAAGTTCACGCCTTTTTATTGGGTGTTTAGAATAGTCACATAATTCGCTCGTTTAAAGGAGAACCATAAATTGGTTCGTAAGTACCGATTCATGGTACTTTTCATATTGGTTTGTCGAAACTCGTCTAGAATTCCAGTTGTGCAATGAACCAAAGAACCAAGGAATTCATAGAAAAAAATTTAAACTTCCTTTAGAGCTAAACAAGAGGAATTTATTTTCACATTAAGTGATAGTTCATCTTGGCCCCACATGTTGTGTTGTGTGTATTGTGTGTAGTGTGGCTATACCACTACAAAGTGTATTTATAAGGAGGGTTTAATTTCAAGGTAACAAATCTTCTAATGTGGGACTTTTACCTTTTATTATTTTTCACTAACTGTATCTATGCGTATCTCTCTACAAGTTAAGCCACACTTTTATGGATATTAGCTATCAGGTAAATAGTTAATAGTTATAATAATAAAATATATAATATATTTTTTATCAATATCTTATACACATTGTCCTACTCCAAAAACTTTCCTCCCATTTTTTAAGACAATTGATTCAAGACACCTTCTCATTCTCCAAGGGTTTACAATTGCTCAAAAATACTCAAGGGTTTAAGCATACAAGCACCTCTCATAAGAAATGGCCTACAATTAGGGTTTTGGTTTTCTCAAATAAAATTGAGCTTCTAATGCCTCAAGTGAGTTTCATGGTTCCTCGTATGCTTAAAAGAATCCTCATGTCAAGTTTCAAGCCTTGCATCACAAGTTTCCTCAGTCAATTGCTCAAATGAGTGAAAGTCAACTATATTAAACAAAAAGTCAAATGTGGTCAACATACAGTCAAACTTCAATATTTTTGGTCAACATCAAGAAAACTCAAGATTCATCAAAAGTCAAAAGTCACTAAATTAGGGTTTTCTTAAGGAGAAGTCAACTAAACTTTGAACAAGTATAACTTTCACATGCTTCATCAGAAATTTCTCAACCAAAGCCTATCTTGAAGGAAATTCAATTCCCTACAACTTTGTCTCTCTAAGCTAAAGTTCAAAAAATGCTTCATTTGAGAGATATGAGCCAAGACATTACAAGTCATTTTGAGAGTCAACAAAAATTCATCTTTTGTCAAAGCAATTTACATCAAGATAAAGACTTCAAATGAAAAAGTGACCAATATAAGAGTTGTAGGGGACATATTGAGCTTTCCAAAAATCGTAAGATCACCTTCATATGACAAAAATTGAGTGATATCTGATTGGTTCAAGTTGAGAAATTTTTGAGAAATGCATGAAACCTCAATTGATCAATTTTTAAATTTTGGACTAGTGGACCTATCTTATAAGATCTAAACATGTCCATGACCTTATAGAGCACTCCTAAACTAATTCATACCTTACCATACTTTATTTATATTTATTTTAATTTTTATTCAATTAAATACAAAATAAATAAAATAACAAATGATGGACCAAGGCATGTGGGCTTGGTTTTGGATCAAATTTGAGGCTCAAGAACACATATCCAACTTGCCAAAACCGTGGGAGGCAAGATTGAGACATAATCTTCTTAAAATAAAATGTTTGAAAACATGTTTTTTTTGTGGTTTGGCAAGACATTGAATGCTTGGTATTTTCCTCTTTTGTCTTGATCTATTTTCTTCCTCTATAAATACACACAACATCAGTGAACAAGGAACATGAATTGCTACCTCAAGAGCAAGCTCTAAGAATCACAAAAAATTCTCAAGAACTAGGGCAAGCGTGAAACCTTATTTGCATCCTCTCGCAAGAAATTCCAAGCATTCCATTACACTCCTGAAGATCCCAAGATTCGTTTCCAGTTTTTCCACAAGCTCGAGACATCCCAGAACGCACTCTCTCAAGAACACCCTAATTGCAGCCTCTCCCAAGAAATTCCAAGCATTCCATTACACTCCTGAAGACACACTTTCACACTTACACCTCTAGGGTAATCTTCCTCTGTTGCCTTCGGAAAAACAACGGTCATGCCCCTCAAACATAGGGATGCTTTAGAAAAGTCCCTCAAATAAAAGATCATAGTCCCTCGATGATCCTTCAACGTTGCCTTTCGAAAAATAATCTAGTCCCTTATGAAACTGCTAAAGCATCCTTACAAGGTGCCTTCAATGACTGCATAATGACCCTTCTCCCGTCCCTTCACATCCAACGATAGGATTCCTACTAACTAATGGTACGGATAGCACTATCTAAAGGAGGAGGAAAACTAAAATAATTACCTTGAATGGTGTTGTACCCCAAAATTTTCCCTCTCACTTATCAAGAATTTCCTCACAAGATCTCTTTGACTCAAGACTGCATTAGGGTTTGGCCAGCTCAAGACATCTCCTCATGCACTGATGACCAAAATTAGGGTTTGAGTTTGCACAAGGATTTTTAGACTATCAATGCTTCATATGACTTTCAAGGATCATTATGGACCCCCAAGATTACTCATGTCAAGTTTCAAGCCTTGAATCACACTTTTGATCAGTCAATTGAATAATTGACCTAAAAATCAACTGTATTGGGGAAAAAGTCAACCATGGCCAATTTAC